AGGGGGTCTGAATACTTTCCGTACCCACTGTATATATATATATATATATATATATATATATATATATATATATATATATAAAATTAAGTGCTAAAATCTAAGCTTGTGATAATAAATTACAATGTTTTTAATAATTGCAATTAATAATATCAAACTATAAAAAAATTAAATTATCAAACTAAAATCCCAAGTGTACATTATTTGTGTACTGTTTTGAAGCATGTATATATAATTCATTTAAATATACAAAGATACAGAAAATGCATATTATATATATATAATTGACTAAAACCTAAGGACCTAAGCATTTGATAAAACATAAGATACAAAAAATTATAATTAATAATTGTGTACTGCTTGAAGCCTGAATATAGTATATATAATTCATTATGTATATTCAATGTATATAAATACACAAAGATATACAATTATTTATAATGCTTTAAGATATACATTATAATGTAAAACATATTTACATAAAATTTGCCTGTGATATTATGATGGCATGCTATAGTAATAATTTGCATATGTTTTGCAGTGTGCGAGTCCTGTATTGAACCTATACCAGTGTGTCTGCCTGGAGAGATACTGGCTGTGGATGTGAACACCACTAATCACTGCTGTCCACAGTATCATTGTGGTAGTTGTTATAAACACACAAGCAGTCACTGTCCTGAAGTGCCCCGTCATTTTGTGTTTCGTAATGAAAGGAGAAACATGATGTGTTTAAAGTCTGTGTCTTGATCTTTCAGTGTGTGATATGAGTCTGTGTCCTGAGCCCAGTGTGAGTTGTGCTCCTGGAGCTGTGCTGGTGAAGAGACCCGTGCCGGATAACTGCTGCCCTGAGACACACTGCGGTACTGGACACATGCGCGCTTGCCTAGATATCTAAACAGTGACTTCCCTGTGACTTCTTTTTGTTTTGAAGATAATCAAGATAATTATACTTACTACAGAATAACCCTTACTCAAACTCTCAAATGTACCTTTTGACATTTTAGAAGGCATTATTTTGTCCCTTTATGTACTATTATTCCTTTTGTGGATGTTTATCTTTTTATTTTTTGTAGATTTAGAAACTTCTGCAGATATTTTTTTCAACAGTTCTCTCGTAAATATAGCTAAACTAAAACAAGTACACAGATACAGAAATATTGCACTAGAAAGTACGGGGCTATTGCCATGAGTACAGCCTGTAAAGAGAATAGAGTCTGTAAGATTTTTAAAGGAATTATTATTTAGCAAGGATACATAAATTGATCAAAAGTGACAGAAAAGACATCTAATGTTACAAAAGATTTCTGTTTCGAATAAATGTCTATTCATCAAATTTCTATTCTATTCATAAACTTTCTATTCATCAAAAAAACCTGAAATCACAACGGTTTTCAACATTTATAATGATACAAAATGTTCCTTGAGCAGCAAATCAGCATATTAGTATGATTTCTGAAGGATTGTGTGGCACTGAAGACTGGAGTATTGGAGGATGCTGAAAATTCAGCTTTGCCATCACAGGAATAAATTATATGTAGAAATATATTTAAATAGAAAATAAATAATATTTCACATTAAAAATATATGCAGCCTTGGTGAGTAGAAGAGACTTTAAAAAAAAAAAAGTAAAAATCTTACCCCCCCCAAACTTTTGAACAGTAGTTTATGAATCCAGTAGTTAATGAAGTTCCATTTAATGCCGTCACTTTAAAATGTTATTGCCAAAGCATTTTTGTATACTTACACACAGTTACATTTGTAACATTTGTTGTTTTTAGAATGTCAGTGTCACAACGTTACACTTCCTGTCTGCACTGCGGTGAGTGTTCTGAAATGTATTCTGTTTGTGTGAATATTGTGTATATAGTGCATTTTGTTGCCATAGTGAATTCTCCTGTAACCACCGCATTATACCGTGACCTTTGTGTTAAAGGGTGAAGTGAGAGTGGAGGAACCAGACCCCGACGGCCCGTGCGGATGCCCACTGTATCACTGCAGTAAGACTCAAACAAACACTCACACGCTCCAAATGCCTCACTATTCAATCAAACTGAAACGTGTTTATGTGTCTCTGTGTGTGTGTAGAGAAGGCAGACGTCTGTCTGTTTCAGGGTGTGACGATATTGAACCCAGGCCAGTCTATGGTGCAATACTTTGAGGGGGAGCTGTGTTACACTGTTCAGTGCCTCACACATAAAGACCCCAGCACTGGGTTCTATGCCATGGAGGTCACCACTGCCAACTGCTCTGAGAAGTGTGAACCTGTAAGTCACATGACTAATTCAGCTTTCAATATATGTATTAACAGATACTTCCCCATGTATTAAAAGTTGCATGATTTTCCATTAAATTTATGAACATTTAAAAGGCACATATCATGAAAGACAAAAACAAATAGCTCTTTTAATCAAAATATTTCAGTGTACAAATATAGACTTAGGTTAGTCAATCATAACAGAGGTGATCTACATATAGATGTCTTAGAGAGACAGTGGAAGACTGTAAATTATATTGGACTCAGAAGTGAAGATTATGGCCCATTTTTTATTTATATATTATATTATATGTACATTATTACATTATTTTCCCAATATTATGTGAATTTCTTTGTATTTATTTTTTTCTTAAATATTGTTTTATATTTTTGTTACTACAGCATCAGGTTTATGTCCCATCATCTGATCCACATGTGTGCTGTGGCTCCTGCAAAAACATCTCATGCTCATATCCCAGTGAAAACGGGACTACAGAAGTATTTATGGTAATCTGCACTCACCGTCTGGTACTTTTTGTTAACCTTGTAAAGCCTGACATATGAAATCATAGTCAGAAAAATCTAGTTTTTTGAAATGGACCAGTTTATTGAACCTTTAGACAAAGCATTCAAAACAAATCTTTATGCATATATGTTTTTTTGTTGAGTATCATATTTGAAACATCAGGCTTTTATGGCACATATGATAGAGGAGAATATGGAGCTTATTCTCGAGGAGGAAAAAACACCTCAATTTTATTCAGGAGCAAAAATGTGCAATTTGGTACAGTTGCTGATATTCATATGACCAAAAAAAAGAGAAAGAAATGCAGCTTGTAATGTGAATCAGTGAGATCTTTATAACAGTACAGCAGACTACTCTCATAAATTGCATATAAATATTAGTTGTCACTCTATATCTTGCAATAATATGTCTTATTAGATAATATTTAAATGCTTAGTTTTATGATCATATAAAATACAAAGATAATTGTACAAATACAAAGATAAATACTAAGTTACTTCAGTCCAGTAAGTTTTCATCTTGAAATATTACTACAATCTAAAAGTTATTTTTATGTTAACTTTATAACAATGAGTAAAGATTTCACAGCAAAAAGACACGTGAACCCTGAAGAGGAACGTTTTTACAATTATATACTAAAGATCCTACTTTAACTTGCTAAAAAAGTATAAACTATATACAGATTTTGATCATGTTGATAATTTAGAGTCCATAGAAATTTGCATATTAAAGGGGTTATTGATGTTGCCAAAAATAACATTACACAGCGTCTTCACAACATGGCAGTGGCGGTGGCAGCAACAATAAAGTTATGCCTTCGTTCTTTGCATGAACATTTGGGTGGTGTTATGCTAATCTTCCCACATCGTGACGTAGACATGTGGGGGCGTGTTTAAACGAGGCGTTTTAGGAGGGCGTGGACCAGTCTTAAGGATATCTCTTTGGGTTTGAGACTTTAGTCTTTGCAACTTTAGGGATCTTATCTATTCACGAACAGCTTGTAACACTCCAAAGAGAAAGGAAAACTTGAAATCCTTTAAATATGATCCAGTAGGCTGTATAGGGTTAATGTAATCCTAAATTTATCCTTGAAACAAATCTTTCTGCATTAAAAAAAAATCATTATTCACTGTATTTGTGAACATTTCCCTCTTTGAGGATGTGCACAAATGGATGTCAGATATGCTGGCGGCATTTTTCCGCAAATTTATCCACAAAAGTATTGCTACTAGGTCAAAAACACAAACACACAAAACCACATCATTGTTTTCAGGAAATACAAAAAGCCTGAGCCTCTAATGCATTAACCTGATAGTGTATGTTGATGTGGTTTGCAGGCAGGAAGCTCATGGGTGGCTAACTGCACACGCTTTGACTGTATGGAGACTGCGGTAGGCGCAGTAGTTCTGGCCTCTGGAGTGGTCTGTCCTCCTTTCAATGACACAGAATGTATTCAGGTCTGACTAAAATCAGTGCATTCCTTCAGCTTTTTTGTAACTGTTTGTGCTGTTATGCTTCTAACCTCAGTGCTTTGTGTTTCAGAATGGAGGCGTAGTTCAGACGTATGTGGACGGTTGCTGTAAGACATGTAAGTATGTGTGTCTGGGGCTGGCTGTGCTTTCTGGGAATGCTGGGGGCTGTTTGGAACAGCATGATGGAGAAGCAGTGCTGGGCTTTACTAGCTGCTGGTTGCGTTGTGGTTAGATGTTCCCTGTTGTCCCGGGGGGAAATGAGCGCTGCTGTACACATCTCACAGGCCTCTTTCATTCTTTTCTTCCAGTTTCAATTTCATGTGCTTTTCCTTGTTCTCAATCCCTCAATGATTGTATATGCCGTGATCTGGGGAGAGCACAAAACAAAGTACTTACAGGGTTTTTTGTGATGAAATACTAATGAAAGCCAGATTGCTGTACTGTTGTCCTCTCTATGCGTTCTTAACTTTATCTTTGTCTTTTGTGTAATCTGTTGCTCAGGCTGGATTTCGTGCTATGGGATTGGTGTTTGTGGTTTTTAGCTGCCTCTTCACAAAGCTTGGTGCTTTACGTACAGTATAAACGGGTTCAGATGAATAACTTTCACAAAGCTTGAACTACATTAGTAAAGCAATCAGACTCAGTAGGTACAGTAATAACTTGTGTTTGAGTTATTAAAATGGGTTTTTCAGTGGCCCATGGTTCAGTTTTTGATTAATGACATCAAATGATGATATTTATACAAAATCTGGGTTCTCACAGTACAAATAATACAATAAAATCTAAAAACAAGTTACAGAAACATAATGAACATTTTCGTAGTCAATATGAAATTCTGCTTGTGTTTAGCTTGACATTTTGTGTGAATTCATTGTTAAATGATTTTTAAAAATCATTTTCCAGTTGTCTTTAATAACTACTAGAAAAATCATTGAAAAGTCATGGGAATTAATAGGTTAAAAGGTGTGGGAACCCTATATTTTGCACAATAATTAATTGAAATGGACAAAAACAAATATCTACCAAATATTTGAGCATTTATTGGCTTGGGTTGCATTTCATAAAAGTGTAAGCCTAACAAAATTGATATATTGGTCTATCACTAATAACAACAAAAACATTTTTTTAAAAATTAAAAAAAAAATTTTTTGTATTTATATATACCTTGCTGTTAAAAAAAAAGTTTTTGCAAGAAGTCCCTTATTCTCACCAAGGCTGCATTTATTTGATCAAAAAATACCGTAAAACAATAATATTGTGAAATATTGTTACATTTGAGAGTAACTGTTTTTTTTATTTTAAGATAATGGAAAATATAATTTACGATGAACACATGATCCTTCAGAAATCATTCTAATATGCTGATTTGCTGCTCAAAAAACATTTATTAATAATATCTACTGATTAATAGAAAGTAAAAAAAACAGCAATTATTTGACATAGAAATCTTTTGTAACATTATGAATGTCTTTACTATTACTTTTGATTAATTTAATGCATCCTTGCTGAATAAAAGTATTCATTTCTTTAAAAAAAATAAAAACTTCTTACTGACCCCAAAACTTTTGAATAGTCGTGTATGTATTTTGTGCATTACTTTAAAACCAAGGAAAGCACATTGGAAAATGCCGCTTGAATCTGTTCTTAATAAAGTCTTCGATAAGAGCCAGTGGTCTTGATTACATTGGCATGGCGTGCTAGAGGGACTCGGGGGTGATTTTGAGGAAAAACTCAACATGTCTGGCATGTGCCTTTTCTGGCTATATTTGCTTCCAACAAACTGGTATGTATTTTTGTGTAAGCGGTGGGTCTGTGCATCTTTTTACGCTTGAGGGCACAGGTTTGTGTGTGTTCGCATTGGTTTGGGGGCTCTTGTGTTTGTGCTGTGTGCTGGAAGCTTTACAAGCGACTTCAACCAAAGAGTTTGTTATCGACTTGTGAGTTTGTGAACCTGCCCCTGTGTGTTTCTCAGGTGCTGGACTTGGTTTGTTGCCTTTTTCCGTTAGTCCAGTAACACCCACTGCTAGTACTAACTGTGATACAGGTACTCACTCCTCTACTGAATTAACTTGATCTGTGTCTCTTAACATTGTGTGTTTTGAAGAAAATATTTGACACATATCTCTTTCAGTCTTGCCGTTATTTTCTTCTCTATGTGAGAGATTTGGCCTGTAATAGAAATTCTGTCATTATTTACCCTGCTGTTTCAAACCCTTACACTATTTTTTTTTTCCTGTGGAAAGCAAAATTAGTTTTGAAGAATGTTCATACTGTGGCTGCAAAAACGTATTTTTTTATGAAATATATTTATTTTTTATTTTATTATATTTTCTTATTAAAATAGGCTTCCCTTTTTTTTCATTTGATTTTACTAAAAACAAAAGTCTTATTGCACTGAAATGAAATTTTTTCAAAAATCTTATTTTAATAATTATTATTTTGTAATTGTTTTTGGGGGAGGGGGCTTGACAACATAAAGAACTATAATGACCTGTCATTGTATGGGAGAATATGTCAGAATTTTATTATATATAATTATAATATAATATAATTATATATAATTTGTATTAACTGTTCCTTTAATACTCACACATGAACGTCTGTATAACATTCAAACACAGACACAACTGTGTTGCAAACACACTCATCCGCTGTCACTCCCACCACATCAAACACATAGCTGTGGAGTCTTGATTTATTTTCTATTGAAACCCCCTGATAAATCTTCAAAACCTGTCCTCCATTTCAACCCCCAGAATCTCTGTCAAAATTAATGAACCTGAAATGTATAATACTCACACTGCCCTCAAAAGAGTTGAATGCCTTTCATTTTATCATTGTTATTCAAACAAAAATTAGATTATTATGGGTGAAAAGTTCAGTTCTCAGTGGTGCCACTTTATCAATGTCAGACAAATGTCACCATGGTAACTAACATGTCAATCAAGCAGAGCCCCCAAGGTGCAGCAATAATAATCACTGAGCCTGTTAATGTGTGTGTGTGTGTGTGACTCATTGTTATAGCCACATTTAAAAAGATTAAACTGCACTTTGTTTAGCTGTCAAAACAGACCTCAGCTGACTATTGTATCATAGATGAATCTTGTGAAAATTGTGAAAATGCACTACCAAACATAGTTTTTACAATTTTACATGTATTTTATTTTTTAATAATGTTATGGAACAAAATACTACATATATTGTAAAGTGCTGTATGAGTATGTTTAAAGTCAACATGAAAATGTCTTATTGCATGTTCCTGATCTTATTGCACATTCTTCCATATATACAGTATGTATAGTTGGTATATGCAACCTTTCTGAAATCAGGCCAATAATTATATTTTACTATTTTTTATAATGTAATACCAGTTAATGTAATGTTACAGCAGTAATAGGAAACAATAATAGTCAAATCCAGATGGATAAAAATGTCCTGTTGACATGTTTTCTAATTTAATTTTTTATTTAATACATTTTAAATGTAATTTTTTAAAAATGTAATAATTTGTAATATTTTTTCTTCAACAGTGTCCCATTACAGTAGTTAATTGGCTTCTAAATATTGTTTGAAGTTGACTTAAAACAAATAATGTCATGTTTGTGTTTATTTGTAAGTCTCTATGTTTGTAAAAAGTTTCTGTGTGTGTGTGTGTGTGTGTGTGTGTGTGTGTGTAGGCAAAGAAGATGGTAAAACCTGTAAGAGAGTCGCCATCAGGACCACCATCAGAAAAGATGACTGTAGAAGTAACGCACCAGTAAGTGTGAAAGAACACCATGAATACTACGAGCACTATGATCCTTATTGTTACAGCTATACATTGTTCTTTTCTAATTTATTCTGGTTTTGTTGTATTTTATATTTGGGACTATTCTCGATTCTGTTCTGTTCTATTTTTGTTATGTATGAAATACAGCAGAATAGCGTCATCTCTCTTTATTTTTCTCTTCAGGTGACTGTGTACTCATGTGATGGAAAATGTCCATCTGCCACCATCTTCAACTTTAACATTAACAGTCATGCACGTTTCTGCAAGTGCTGCCGTGAGAACGGCCTCCAAAACCGTATCATTCAGCTGTACTGCACTCGAAATGCCACTACGGTGGACTATTACTACCAGGAGCCGATGGACTGCTCATGCCAGTGGAACTGATTCCTTGCGGACTGTGTGCAGTAAAGTTAAGATCTCAGTGAGAGCACTAGCTTGACGCAGACAGGCCCGACTTCGACTGCATATACAGTACAGTATCTGTAAAACCGCAAACTACTAACACCATCGCTGTATCTGTTTGATATCTATAATTTATATGCAAGTACAGTAGATTAATCAAACATTTATTCGAAGAACAACAAACTGCTGTTAAATTGGTGTATTGTTTAGATTTTAGTATTAACATTTGTTAAATGATGAAATGACATGGGGAAGAGTATTATTAGAATCAATATTTAGTATTTAACATTTTAAATACATTTGAAAATCTTAGCTTTTAACCAGATGCTTTATTTAAATGGCAACTTTGTGCTTTTTCTAACAAAAAATGCATTTCTTATTAATTTTTTTTAATTACAGAGAAAATAAACAAGCCAGTCTCAAGCCCCGAGCACATCATGATAAAGATATCTATAACGATAACTATAATAGCGTCCACACCGATACACATTTCAACATTATGTTTATTATAAGCACGCTTTGCATTTTTGTCATCTGCCATCTAAATGCTAAAACTCTTCAAAACAGCATCAGAGTCTGACTGGCTGTCAATCAATGTTCTTATCGTTCATCATTCTGCAACGATGTTGTTTCTCTGTGCCGTTAGCGTTATAGCTGTGGTGCGGATTGTAGAACAATTGTATCGTTACAGTTATCGTCCTTTGTGTAAACAGGCCTTTAAGTAGGCATTTGATATTTAAAGAGAAATCCCACACAGTTGCTTGACAGGCGCATCCATCACTCACTAGTTGTGTTGGCACTTTTAGTGTGCTCTGTCTGTGTCTAAGCTGTCTGTAAAAAACATGACGTGATGAACTTGAATTTCCATACTATAGCCATAATGCCAAAAATATGATTTCTGCTGCAAGTGAACTGAATTGTATAAGCTTAGCATATAGTAAACTACCTATAAACCTGCATGTTATTGTCACTGTTTTTTAAATAATAAAATATAAATGCAAAAAACTATTTTTTCCATATGCACTGAGCAAATCAATCATTTAATTGATTTACCAAGCTATTTTGTAATATTCTATTCAACTAGCCACAGATTAGTATTCAGCAGATACAAATGATTTAGAAAACAGACTCAAATGAATAAAACTGCAGAAAAACAATTGGTATCTTGGCATCCATCACCGGAAGTGTAGCATCTTCACCCTGATCTAATTCCAGCAGTGATTTATTAACTGGATCAGCCCACGCATGACTTGAGTTATATCCTGCTGAGTTGTGTTTTGCTTTCAAGTCAGGTGATTAAAATGTTGGAGAAGTTCATCTCCTCCCTCGCGAACATCTGCTGAATCAAAATTCAAAGATATGTTGCGAGTTCAATACAGTGAACTCTCAATTTCCACAGAAAATAACATTGACTTATTGACTTTATTTGTTAAAGCAGCAGTGCATCGAAGCAGTGATATAAACATTAAAATACCCACTTCGAAAATAGAAATTTTACAAAGCTTTATCGCTCAAATAACATTAATGTAAGTTCTTTAACAAACATTTTTGCACATTTTTGCTTTTACATTTGACCGTGTAGTACTGTATTACAACTTGCATTGACTCTGAAGCATTCCAAACATTACATAATATGTGTTAATGACTTATTCTTGAGAGCTAATATAAATAGTTTTGAGTTTTATTCTCAGTGGGTGATGTAATACATGTAGGAGTGCGGGATTTTATTCTCTTTCATTTTTAACGTTACTCTGCGACTGACCCTGCATGATTCTCATGTGCTTTTGTTGTCTTGACGACCTGTACTTATTTTGATTGGGTACAAAAAGAAAGCATGGGGTGGATCAGAGGCTATCTGATCTGAATGAATGAGACGCAGCTGCTTTCGGGAGGAGATTTGGTTGAATCCTCCAGTGTGGGGTTTGTAATGTTGTAAGATGCTGGCATGGGCATCTGGATGGCAAGAGAGGCGTGTCCTCAAGGAATGTGGGGTATTTTTTTGTGTAAACTGAACTTTGCTCTAAGATGCCACGGAGTGCTCTTATGACCACAAAGACTGTTTTAGGATGCTGCTGAAGTTTGACTGACCATACTATTGTAGTGTAGACTATTATTACAGTGCAAGCTGCAAGGCTACAGACCTTAGTGTTTTGCTTTAAGGATATGGTGTCGTCTATGGACACTGGAATTATGGGATGGAGCTCCACGGACAAAGTTCTGGCATTGTTTTGGCAACTTCTGCACTTCTTTCAGGTAATAATTTATTCAAACTGTTATTGGATTGCATCATCTTCAAGTTAAGGAAAATGCATCTGCTGTAAATTACAGAAAGATATATGGCTTTCTGAGAGTTAAAGAGTTACTGTTTGTGTTAGAAACGTTCTAAGCTGTAATAGTTTTTTTTAGAAAACTTGAACATGAAATCAAAATTGGCCCTGTTTGCTTTCTTAATAAATGTTCCTGTGCCATTATTCATTAATGCATGTTATTCCAAAGAGAAGATGTTTGTCTTTGCAATCTTTTATCACAATCTAGTAACTTGCTTCGCATCTGAAATGCCTTTCCTTTTCGGCTGACGTCATCTAGGCCAGAAGTAATGTTAATTATTTGCCAGTTATTTTGGTCATTGTTTTAAGCAATGCAGCCTCATTCTAGGCTGAAAAAGTGGCAATTAACAGTAATGTAATAATACTTTTTATAATTGGGATGCAAGTCCCTTTTCCATTTTTATCATCGAAATGCGTCACTCAGAAATGCAATACATGCAGAAGTTGTTTGCGAACATCATTTCATGTTGACTTTAAGGATAGCAGTCATATGAAATTAGTAATATTAAAGCTTGATATAAAACGCTTGATCTGCCCTCAACCCTATGGATTTTTCTTTCCTCTTGTTGTCCTGCAGGCTTTCAGCCTTCCATGTTCCAGAAGTCCATCCTCTGTCCATGTGCAGGTGGCGTTTCAGTGTTTTCCATCTCCGACAGATCATTTTTACACAATTTTATTGGGAAACAAGGTGCGAAGCAAACACCATCCCTCTTACATGCTCTTAAATTTAAAGGTTCTTTACTGTCATTGATGGTCCCGTGAAGAATTTTTAACATCTGTGGAACCTTTCCATTGGACAAATGTTTTATTTAAAGGTTCCACTGGCCCAAAAAGAGACATGCAAAATGTGCAGTGTTGGGGTGCCTCAAGGACCAGGGTTGGGAACCACTGCTTTAGATTATCAAAATGTTCTTCACCCTAAGGAAAATGGTTCTTTTAAGAAATTTCCCTGAAAGATTCTTTGGGGAACCCAGAATGGTTCTTCTATGTTATCTCTGTGAAAACACCCTTTTGGAACCTTTACTTTTAAGAGTGTGCATTGATAATATGTTTGATTAATTGAGCCTCTCCCCCTCTGTCAGCTGTTGAGCAGTACTACAGTGTGTGAAGATGTGTATGAGTGTGTGATGGAGTTCAGAGCACCACAAGTGTCTAAGAATCTGGAATTCAGTCTGCAATCATACAGTGGCACAGAACTACTGGATTCCAAGACTTTCCACCTTGGTAACGCTGAAGACAGAAGCTCAAACTACACAAATGCACATATTGTTTTGTTTAATTAAGTATAATTATATTCATTGTTATTGAGATTCTGGCTGTGTTTTAATAATCTTTTTGCTCTGTTATTGTTAGTTCCTCTCATGACATCCTCTTTATGCTTGAATGTCTCATCTACGACTGTCGTGGTCAGCTGGCCTACATTAGATGATGGAGATGTCTTGGATGTGTGTTTGGATGAGCAGTGTTGGGTTGCTTCCCATTTTCAGCCATTCCACCAGGTGACAGGCTTTCAGCCTGGACATCATTACAATGTCAGTGTGGCAAAGAAAACATTCGTCCCTCATCTCCAAATTAATGTTACACAAAGCTTGCAGCTGGCCGTAAAGACAGGTATGTGCACAAACACATATGTGACCCTGAAGCACAAAACCTTAAGTCTTAAGTCGCTGGGATATATTTGTAGCAATAGCCAAAAATACATTGTATGGGTCAAAATGATTGATTTTTCTTTTATGCCAAAAATCATTAGAATATTAAGTAAAGATCATGTTCCATGAAGATATTTTGTAAATTTCCTACTGTAAATATATTAAAACTTCATTTGGACAACTTTAAAGGTGATTTTCTCAATATTTAGATTTTTTTATTTACCCTCAGATTTCAGATTTTCAAATAGTTGTATATCGGCCAAATATTGTCCTATCCTAACAAACCATACATCAATAAAAAGCTTATTTATTCAGCTTTCAAATGATGTATAAATCTTCATTTCGGAAAATTGACCCTTATGACTGGTTTTGTGGTCCAGGGTCACATATGCTGAATAGTGTTGTTTTGTGTTGAATTGCTTATGTTCCTCTCAAGTTGCTTTGAATAAAAGCATCTGCTAAATATGTAAATGTCTCAAAAGTAAAGTTGTAAAGTAGAACCAAAAAGGCTTTTATTGGGCTTGGTGCCATAGGAGAAGCTTTTAAAGTTCCTCAAATAAATGTTTATTCTCCAATTATTTAGAAAATTACAACATTTATGAATGAAACTGTCATGAGATTTGGGAATTTTAGTCAATAACAACTTAATTTCAATCTATTTCTCACACAAAAACAGTGGAATATAGTGCACAAGTTATATGGACTACTTTGTGTCTTTGTAAGTCTTTTGAGAATATAATTCTATGTATCACAATAAAGACACATGTACACACTGACAAGGTCTAAAACTAATTCTAAAACTATTAAAAATAATTGTATTAACTGAAATTCATTTAAAATAAAATTAAATATGAATATTAGATGGAAACACTTAAACTGAAAATTGAAAATTTTAAATGCCTGCACTTAACAAAAATAAGTTGAAGTGCAAAAATGACTAAAACTGAAATAAAATTAAATAAAGCGAAATAGAAATACTGAAACAAAACTAATAAAAATGACAAAAGCACATAACTATATTATTAAAAGTTAAAATATAATAAATTAAAGCTATAAATCAAAATATTAATAAAATAAAAAGTTATGTTTTTTTTTTTTTTTTTTTTGACAATATAAATCCTCACTCACTTTTGTTGTATGAAAAAGTGTAGCTTGGAGATGTGCTTTTGTGTAATCTCCTTTTATTCTCCTAAAATTTAAAAAAAAAAATCTTTCTGATTTTGAATGACAAACGCTTCAAGAAGATGAAAACCTGTGTATATAGTTTAAGAACACTGATGTTGTGACTTCCTCCTGCAGCTCAGTGTCCCGTTGGCTGGCTTGCTGTGGGATGGAGCTGTTATAAGGTGAACCCGAGGTTCATGTCATGGTCTGGAGCAAAGCAAGCGTGTGAAAGGTCAACCCCAGGGTCACATCTGGCCAACATAAAGACAGATGCAGAGTTTCTGTCCATCATATCCTTCTTAGAGTCCTATAACCACCTTCTGCTGTTGTGGACCGCTTTGAATGACCGTGAGGTACATGGCAAACACACATAGACACTATTTGAATTATTTTTTGTGGCATACTGAAACTTTTAAAAATAGTATGCAGTATATAGTATACTAGTATTCCATTCAGTGTTTCTAATATCCACAGACAGAAGGTGACTTCCGCTGGTTTGATGGCTCTACTTACAACTTAAATATTGAAATGACATCATCGCTTGCACCCAATCAAACGGGCTGTGTTGCAATGCAGAAGAATGCGACTGGAGCAGGATACTTCTTCACTGCTTTCCTGTGTTACATGCAGCTTCCCTACATATGTCAAGAAGAGTGTGAGTGAAGAAGAGAGATACAGAGTGTGGTTACTTTCACTGTGATAAGGGGGATTTGATTTACTCAAGCAGGACATGTTCCTCAATCAACATCCACTGTTGTTCCTGGAAAAAGAGGTTTGGTTGGAGTCAGGATTGATTGGGTTGATAGGAATGTTGTTCCTAGACCAACAAAGCATGTTGATCCAGGAATATGTCCTGTTTTGATAAATCAAGCTGTGCAATAATAAGCATTGCTTGGTCAGGACTGAGCATTTTCAGAGAAATGGCCTGAGGAAAACTGTATTGCTCAGAGGTTGCTCTTTTATCGCTTTTGGAGTTTTCAAAGTATAAAGTTTGTCTCTGATGTTTCTCCTAAATGTAATTAGCAAAAATGAAAGTAGACTCAAATGAGACAAATGTTGACCCAATAAAAATATAGAGGCATAAATCTATAAAAACATTAATTGAAATAAAGCTTATATAAAATAAAATATAAATATTACATGAAAAACAAAAAGAAACTTCAAAGAAAATGAGAAATGAGCTGAAATAAGTTAAGTTTAAGTACTAAAATGAAATAAAAATAAAGCTAAATTAATATAAATTACAAACAAAAAACAAGAACTAAAAATTATAAAAGCACATAATAAAATGACTAAAACTTAAACTGTGAAAGGTAATTCAAAGTATTAATAAAATAAAAATTCAATGAAATTACAGTGATGTAAATGGCATAGCTCAGATCATTTGATTTTACAAGATTTGGATGAGAAATTTTTGATTGTAGGCTTTGGTATCTTGACAAATCTGAGCATATTTTGAGACCGTGTTGAGATCTTTTCTGAAACTCTAGAAAATATACATGAGATTACTGGGATCATTTTCTCTGGAGACTAAAAGGGATGAAAATTTGTCATCATTTACTGACCCTCATGTTATTCCAAACCTGTATGAATTTTTTTATTCTTTTGAACATAGAAGAAGATATTTTGAAGAACAGTGGTAACCAAACAGTTGCTGGTTGCCATTGACTTCCATAGTATTTTTGAGAAAAAATTGAGAAGCAGCAGGCCAAAATGGCACCTTCAGCCCATCTCTGAGTCTATGTTTTGTAGCATGGACTGCTGGGTAATAGTACACTGTGATGTCTGCACCAAAGGGGCCACTTGTAAGGACACTTCTAAAAATTAAAATCACACATGGGACACCCCATGATTTTGTGTGCTTTCACAATCACCACAAGACCACCGGTACACATGAAATGTGCCATTTGGAGGCTCTTAGTCTCCATTTTCTCTCTATTTATTTGAATTGCTGTCTAACAGAAATATCTGAGATCTTAAGATTTCATTTGAGAGTTTCTTTTAGATTAACTGTGTCTCTGTTGCAGTATTGCAGAGCAGCAGTAAATTGCTGGATCTGGAGAGTGTGTGCGAAACTGAAGCAGCATTTATCTGGTCGAATGAATCTCACCTGGACTTATCTGCTGGTTTTACTCTTGCTCTACAATCAGAAGATGAATCAAAGATGAAACCGTCTCACATATTGCACTCACAAACACTCAAGACAAAGTGAGAGTTCAAGATCTCTCTCCTGGCCACATCTATCGTTTCTCACTGGTTCTTGCACGTCCCAGGGGGGCGTCTCAGACACTTGGACCTATTTTTATTGTCAATACAAGTAAGTCTCAATATCTATAGAACAAACACACATTAAAGGGGTCATATGATGTTGCTAAAATGAACATTATTTTGTGTATTTGGTGCTTTAAATATGAAAACTTACTTACAGTCTGTGAGTCAGAACAGCCGGCATTGTAGTCTGCTCTACCCGGATCAGCAAACAGTCCTCTATAAAATGCGCTGCACACATCTGAATATTTGGGTTGAAGGGTCCTTGAACAGTGTTGTAAATACAACTTAACCACTGATTTCTAGTCGTGTCCTCTTTTGGAAAGACCAAACAAAGTAGTTTCGCTTTCACAACGAAACACAGCAACATTAGAGTGAGCGGAGGCCAGCTTGAGTGAGCAGGCTTGAGAATGGCGCCAGCAGATTTGACGAAGGAGTGGCCAGCGGGCTTACGGTAACCACTTGTGACGACCCTGGGCTGGACTCCGCTTCATCCACGGTGAAAGCCGATCCGGCGATCCACAGCACTAAGTTGATGTATTTCCTCAGCGACCAGCACGGATCAGCTCTAGGCATGACGAAGCGGATATCGTCCTCTTTTGGAAGACCAAACAAAGTAGTTTCGCTTTCACAATGAAACACAGCGCCTTCACGACAAGGCGGCGGCAACAACAACAATACTACAGCGAGAATAAAAGTTACGCCGCCTTTTTTGCATGAACATTTTGGTGGCGTTATGCAAATCTTCCCACATCGTGATGTAGACATGTGGGGGCGTGTTAGAACGAGCCGTTTTAGGTAGGCGTGGTTGACTCTTAACTTTTATAAAGAATATCTCTTTGGATTTGAGACTTTAGTCTTTGCAACTTTACAGATCTTCTTTATGCACCAAGAGCTTGTAACACTCCAAAGAGAAAGGAAAACTTGAAATCGCATCATATGACCCCTTTAAATGAATAGTTTACGCAAAAATGAACTGTTTTTGTAATGTTGCAGAGCCAAATCGTCCTCAGAATCTTACAGTGACAGCTGTCACATCCAATCAGATTGCATTGTGTTGGACTGCTCCTGATTCTACCCATAAGGCTCAGTTTGAGCACTTCATTTTGCACTGGGCGGATCTAGCCTCTGGCAGAGGCCATGCCATTCGCTTGGACAAGATGAATCAGAGCGCTGTGATTGGTGGGTTGAAGGCGTGTCATATGCTCACAGGATCACAGTTTTGTCTGTCACAGCTCAAGGTGTGGAAAGCTCTGACAGTACGTCCGTGACTGTTATCACAGGTATATTTTATGAAGGGTGAAAGCACTTTTGTGTGCATATATCTTGTCAACATCCCAGCTAACAGGAAATGTTCTCAGAACTGGCAAATGATATTGCAGTAATGGAACATTTGTTCAAAGTATCTGGTCTCTAATAATGTTCTCTAAACATCAGCACAAAAATATTATTAATTGATCATTCATGGAACACTTTTTCCTGAAAGTTTTAGTTGGAAGTTTGTTTAATATTTAACTTTTTAAAATGTATTTACTACTTTTATTACTCGTTTAAATTTACAAGTAACTTGTTTAAAATATTTCTTCTTGTTCAGAGAACATTCAAAAGTTTGCAAAATCGTTGGTGGAAAATAAGTATAGATTAGTTTGTTTGCTTAAGTGCATCAAGTGCAGTGCAAACGGTAAAAGGTCTTGAGGCAGGTGTGACACGCTCTCTATTACGGATTAAAAGTGTAAGTGAGAGTAAACAGTGAGAGATGCTGAGACAGGTGAAAGCGTTTGGTTAATAGTGAATATTGACCTATTGTGAGTACCGTTGTGGCTCCCGCTGTTAGCAGGGGATAATCCCTACATTTGGGGTAAAAAAGAAAATAAAAAAATATAATAATAAAAATAAATATCTTGAAAATAAAAATTATTTAGCATTTTAGTCTAGTTTTGCACAATATGCATATTCAAGTATGCTGTTCCAAACATAGTCATAGAGTCCCCGGGGATATAACTAGTGAAGTACTGCATTTGAATGTCTGTTTATTTATTGTCAGCTTTGGCTCCTCCCACTCATGTGCATGCTGGTGTTGTGACTGACAGCTCCATAGAGCTCCTGTGGGATGGGGCTGAGGGGGCCGGCCACCATTATGAGGTGCTGTGTACGAACTGCGCTGATACTGTCATGGTACGATCCTGTGTGTGTGAGTACACATCCTGTGTATGATGTCTGTGTTTCTTCTTTTACACACTATAAAATGGTTTGTGTAATATCTAATTTAACTGGTTTTATTACACCAGTGAAACTCATCTTCAAGTGTCAGATCAAGTATCTGAACAAATGTAAATGTTGACCTCATACAGGGCAGCGTTTGATGAAAGAAATAGATTTCCTGATGCCATTCCACCATCACTGGGATCACCATTATCATTTTAATGAAGCTAAAGTGAAACTGTGCCCAAAAGATTTTGAAGTCAACATTTTATGCTGTTCTTAACTAATAGATACTCAAATGAGGGGGAAATAGTTTGTTTACTACTTTGTTGTGTGTGTGTCTTTGTAGGTGCAGAAGGTAGTGGGCACTAGAGCAGTTTTTAGGGACGTGATTGCAGGAAAGCTATGCAACTTTTCAGTCCGAACCGAGAAAGAGTTTTTCAGAGACAGTCCAGCCGTGATTGTCACCATCAGAGCTGGTATACATTCACACAATCTCAACTACTTACTCAGGTTTTATTTTATTTTATTTTATAAAAAAAATTAATAAGAAATAATACTTTTATTTACTGATTATGTGACAGTGAAAAAAATCGAATAATTCAATTTTTTTTTAAATGCTGATCTTTTGAACTACATTGATACGTTGAAAAATCCTGAAAAAAATGATCACCATTTCCACAAAAATATTAAGCATCACAACTGTTTTCAACATTGATAATAATCAGAAATGTTTCTTGAGCAACAGATCAGCATATTATACTGATTTCTGAAGGATCCTGTGACGCTGAAGACTGGAGTGATGATGCTGAAAATTCAGCTTTGCATCACAGAAATAAAATACATTTCAAAATATATTCAAATAGAAAACAGCTATTTTTAAGTATAATAATATTTCACAATATTTCTGTTTTTACTGTATTTTGATCAAATAAATGCAAACTTGGTGTACATAAGAGACTTCTTTCAAAGCATTAAATAATCTTGACCCAAAACTTTTGAATGGTAGTATACAGTACTTACACTCAGTACTGTACTTACAACAGCTCTTTTTGACCAGTAAATACCCATTACTTTTCAATTCGTTGTTTAAGAGCAAACAACGTGGGCTTACGTGCTGATAGAAAAATTTAAACAAAATTTCCATAGATTTTCTGGAAATCACAGTTTTGTGTTTCCTGTTATAACTTTTAAACGATAACTTTGCATTTAATTAACTTGAGTCTTTTTGTAGCTCCCAGTCCGGTCACCTTGTTGCCAGTGCAGAGGACATCAGCGTCTCTCAGTGTGCGCTGGAGGGCCGGCCGGGGGGTCTGTGACTCATTCATCCTGTCCATCAGAAACTCAACCTTTATCCTGCAGACCAGTCAAAGTGCGTCTGAAGACAGGTGCGGATTTTGATCAGTTATCTGCCCTGAAGATGCGTTCTTTATGTGAGAGAGGTTTGAACTGTGGCTTTCTTTCTTTTTAGAACATATGGCTTTGACAACCTGTTGCCTGGAAGTCTGTATACTGTTGAAGTGAGCAGTGTTAGTGGAGAAAGGTGAAGTTTACCTGCTGCTGCAACTGTTAACACACGTGAGTGTTACTAGACTTATACATCGGTACTAAACATATTTACTCACACAAATCCACATATTAGCTCTGTTCCAGAACTTAGTGCCTTGCTGTACTGCCTACATAGACAGCAGCCTTCTAAGGCAGCATGCTAGCTGAAGTCAAACCTTATAAATGACTCATTTGGAACACTCCTCTTGGGTAGCAACTCCATTAGCATCTACTTATACATGCCTAACAAACAGTGCTCTTCATGTGAAGCCAGTTCAGTAGAGTTTAATGTTAGCATGCCACTAAATTAACTCAGTACTACGGTAAACATAAAAATATGTTCAAACGTTGAGTAAAATAATCCATTTTAATTTCCCTGATATGTCTATGAATAGTTTAGGCATTGAATAAAATGTTCAAAGGTTTAAAATTGTTACAATGTTTTAATGTTTTTTAATGCTCACCAAAGCTGCATTTATTTGATAAAAATACAGCAAAAACTGTAATGTTGTGAAATATTGCAATTTAAAACTAATTTCTATTTAAATATATAATCTATTTTTTATTCCTGTGATGGCAAAGCTGAATTTTCAGCATCATTATTCCAGTCTTTAATAACTTTTTTTTTAATTATTATTATCAATGTTGAAAAACAGCTGTGCTGCTTAATATTAACAAACAGCATATATTTGAAGTAGACTGTCACTTTGAATCAATTAAATGCATCCTTGCTGATTAAAAGTATTAATTTCTTAAAATAAAAATCAAGATTTCTCCCCACTGAGCTTATTGCAATGCATTCTGGGATTGGGTTCCCTGTGAAAGATATGTGTTGCACTTGAATTGAATCTTGATAAAATATAGAGACATGAAGATGGACACTTTTTTTATTTAAGACCATGTTAAAGACAAACTTCCTGACAGCCTATTTAGTTTAAATTATGATGTGTGATTTTGGAGCAGCCTGAGATATGTCTTAAATGCTGTCTATGCAGGCAGCTCACTTGAATTTGGAACACAGCTGTAAACTCACACACATGCGCTCAAAATGGTCTTTTTATACTTCAGTTCCAGAACCTCCTGACGACTTCACTTTCATTGAACAGGAAGTGAGCAGCATGTATGTGATGTGGACACACCCACCGGGCAACGTGAATGGTTACAGGGTAGGGTGACTTTCTGATTATCCGATCAGCATCGAGATCCACATACTGTAGGGATTTGGTTGCATGTGATAGTGTAT